TGCTAATAGTCTTGCTGGTTACGTCATTCAGCTGGCTGCAGCTTTGTTTTGATTTCTACGATCGGACTACGAACGATAGCGACAAATAAACAGTGCCAAAAATGCTCCTATTTTGTAATAAATTTCACTATTTTGGAAACGGGGAATCGTTTTCTGGTTAAGGGGGTTCGCTGGCAAAAGGGGGGTTCGCTGAAAAAGGGGGTTCGCCCGAACCCCTAAAAACCCCCTTGGCTACGGGCCTGCTGATATAACATTACTGATATCGTACTATACACACCCTTCAGTGTGAAATGTGGCTTTCTTTGCAAGCACATCTAACATCTAAGGACAGAAGAGCTTAGATTGGTACCCGATAAAATAATGTTGTTATCAACATTAATACATTATGCTAATTTTCATCTTTGTAAGCGCATAAGACAGTGCAAATTATTTCTGTGACAGTCTTTTGAAGTGTGTAAAGCTGCATTTTATCCCATACATAGTCAAAATATTGGGGGGGGGGGCACAATGGACCACCCCCCCCCTTGTCAAATATTGGGGGATATATCCCCTCCATCTCCCCCGGGATCTACGCCTATGGACAATAAACAAGGCAATGGAAAAGAAATTAAAAGCTGTGGAAATGTGTTTCTACAGAAGAATGTTGCAGATCTCGTGGGAAATGAAAATGACAAATGGAGAAGTGTTGCAAAAAGCGAAAACAGAAAGGCAGTTGATGAACACCATAAGAGAAAGACAATGGAGATTTGTTGGACATATTCTAAGAGAAGAAGGTGGAATTGAAAGACATATCATCGAGATGGAATTGAAGGGGAAAAGGGGGAAAGGAAGGCAAAGGATGAAGACGCTTGATTGGATGAAAGAAAAGCTGAATGTGAAGAATGATGTAGAGCTTGGGAATATTGCGAGAGATAGAAAGAGATGGAAAAAGACAGGACAGACACTGACAGACAATCCATGAACGCCTACGGCATAATATGCTATGGTACATGAAGAAGAAGAAGTAAAATGTTCAAATTTTACTGCAACCGCAGGAGGGCGAATGTTCCATCAATGCTTTAATGCAAATACGCGGAGCAGCTCATTCTTTATTATTTATTCCTCCATGAGTGAAGTAAAGCTACTTCTTGTTGTCGCTGCGGTCTTGGTAGGTGAGATTTTTTTCATTCAATTCAGTGCTTGAACCTGGTGTATTAATATTCATAATTTCAATGTAAAAAGAATACTCTAGGCATAGTAGTTAACAAATGTTTGTAACGTAATTTTATTGTCTTGAATGGGCTAGGCCCACCACCAGACAGAAAGGGGCGCGCCTAGGGGGAACATTCTAGCGTTTATAACTTCTTTATTATACAATGTAGGACCACAGACTCAAAGGCTGGTAGTTCGGGGAAGATACACCTAGACGATAACGTACAAATGACATATGTATGTTTGTTGTGTTATGTTGCCGGTAGTACACTCGAGCGGTACAAGTGGGGGCGCTCTTTGAACATATACCAACCCATACAAAAAGAGGACGAGATAACTCGCACTTGGCATAGTCAGTAAAAAGTTCTATCACAGTGCCATTGACGAGTATACTCGCCCCCCCCCCTAATATTTTCCCGCCAATTTATTAGACACATCATTTTGATGATATATGACTAGATAAAATTTCAAAAAAGTATGTTTGTACATGTAAACTTGTTTTGGCACACGGGAAGGAACCGTAAAAAAGGTCTGGCAGTCAACGTGTTAATAGATAGTCGGCTAGGTAGGTTGTCCTGGCCGGTGTAGCATTGGCCCTGGACTTGTTATGTCTAAAATTTTAAGCCAATTTTTCCGACCAATAATTATTGTCTTATCGTATAATTTAAAATTCTAAAATTGTTTTCATGGTGAATAAATTCTAAAGTATCCAATCTACAATTAGGGCAATTATTAAGAGTGATGAAATACAATTTTTTTTTTTTTTAATAATTGATAATTTTTGATTTACCAGCTATTGTATAATTTAGTGGGGTATATTAGAGCCAAGGAGAAAAATTAGCTTCAAGCTCTTTAAAAGAACAGGTTGCACAAGAAATGAAGAAGTTATATATTATTACAATTACATATAGAAGAAGTACAGTTGAAGAAGTTGAAATTAAAGGGTGCTTATATATAGAAATAATGGAACATTCTTGTCTGCTGATGTTCAACCTATTGCTAACAGAAGAGCAAAGTGGAAGTTTGGTCCACAGTGGTGTAAAATAAAATGTGTGCTCCTTGATTGATATTTCTGCTCAAGGAAAGCAACATGTTTTGTGGATGACACTTTATTCTGAAAACCCATAAAATCACTAAAAAGCTGGGACAAAGAATAATTTTGAGTTAAAAAAAAAAAGCAAAATCTACAACAAAAGCATAAGGAAATAGGCATAATATTTTGTAAATGAGTATGTAAATGAAAATAAATATCTGAGATCTCCAGTGTTTTGTATATGTTTGTAGCATATTTGAATTTATTTTACATTATTTGATGATTGTTAGGCGTATACCAGTAATGTCTGCAACAGAACATGAAACACCCTCCAGACTTAAAATGAACACACCACAAATAAAAATAGAACAAATTTTTTTGTGTAAGTGGTCAGTTAGTCTGCTTATTCAGGTATATGTAATAGATTATTGGGTTTTTTTTTTTAGATTACCAGTTGTTTTTTAAGTGATGGAGTCACCATCAGAAGCAAAGAAGAAAAAATATGACAGAATTCCTACACCAGCAGAAGATCAAGATGAAAGCTCTCCATTGAATTCTCCATATTTTCGAAGTGGGAATCTATCCACGGAGAAATGCATTTCTGAGACTTTTATAGAAATTATGTAAACTATGAGCGAAAAATTGGCCAAGTTGGGATTTGTTGATCATGTCCAGTATATGGATGAGTCCCCATCAGAAGCAAAGAAGAAAAAGTATGACAGAATTCCTACACCAGCAGAAGATCAAGATGAAAGCTCTCCATCGAATTCTCCATATTTTCAAAGTGGGAATCTATCCACGGAGAAATGCATTTCTGAGACTTTTATAGAAATTATGGAAACTATGAGTGAAAAATTGGCCAAGTTGGAATTTGTTGATCCTGTCCAGTATATTTATAATCCTGTAGAATATGCAAAAGAAACGCATGGTTGCTATGTGAAAAAATACTGCAATTCTCAGAAGAAGGTTCTGTTTTTGGGAATGAATCCAGGACCATTTGGAATGGCGCAGAATGGGGTAGGAATCATAGCTTACAGTACAGTAGTGAAAAGGGTTATTACAGCACCTTATTACATAAAGATGTGAAATAAATAAAAAATCTAAGCCTGGCCTGAGTGCCATTTTTTGGGCATCAAGAGGTGGCATAACTAAAATGTTTTCCCCTCAGCTTATACTATGGATGTGCCCCTTCAGACTGATTCCACCTCCCTACATTTTTTCCTCTCCCCAAATCATTTAAATTAGGCTCATCAATAGCCTACCTAAAAATATTAACATGAGAGGAGGCGGAATGATGTTTGTTTATGTTTGGATGGAGGCTCAATAAGTACTGTGAGAGGAACTGGTAAAATTTGGTTATATAGGTGATTGTTAAATACTTTAGCATAATTGAATGCTCAGCAGCAAATCTTCAGTAGGTTGTCCCCATAGATACATCACTGTCTTTTATTTTATAGCTCATAAAAAAAGCCCTTTCATTTTGGTTACCTACGTTCATTATTTTTAGAAAATTATATTTACTATTTATGATAACCATACTTTCTTGGTTTTTATTATTTTGTAAACAGGTACCCTTTGGAGATACACATTTTGTAAAGGACTGGCTAGGCATTGTGGGCAATGTTGGTAAACCACGGGATGAACATCCAAGCAGGCAAATCGTTGGTTTGAAATTCATTCGTAAGGAGGTCAGCGGATCTCGGTTCTGGGGTCTATGGAAGAACCTTTGCGGAACTCCGGATGTCTTTTTTAAGCATTCGTTTGTATATAACATCTGCCCGTTGGTTTTTATGCGTTCAACAGGAAAAAACATTACGCCACCTACGCTACGTGTGAAATATCGTAAACCTCTACTAGAAGTCTGTGATGAAGCGCTTTGTGAAATTATCAGACTGCTAGATGTGAAAATAGTTGTTGGAGTTGGGAAATTTGCTGAAAAACAGACAAAGTTTGCATTGGATAATGCAGGAATTGAGGGTATTCAAGTTGTCAGTATTTTACACCCAAGTCCCGCGAGCCCAAAAGCAAACAAAGGATGGGAACGTATAGCCACGAAACAACTTGAAGAACTGGATTTGATTGAATACTTTAAAAATTAGATATAACTAGAAATTGCAAATTGCAAGTGAAGTGCTGCGAAGTAAAACTGCATAAAATGTTCTTCGAACAAAATTATTTATGCGAGTCAAGTGAAAATAATGAATAATAAAAATATAACAAATAATATGAGACACGACCCATTGTCTATATTAGAACAGTGTTGGTACCGTGTACAATAGTGTTTTGCTGCAGTGACATCTCGCTGCTGGCGACTTGCTGCTCTGCTGGCCGATGACTCGCTGCTTGCGAATCGATCTGCGCATGTGTATAAAATGGTATTTATTTCCGAAAACACTATGCCAGTCTACAACAAGCGTCGCCTAAATGTAATAGCCTAAATGTAATATTTAGCACGAAATAGGCTAGTAAATAATTTTAACTGGGTTCGTAAATAATATTGGCCTCAAAATATTGTGGCTGAGACATGAGCCGATTAAACGTAGAAATAGGAAACCTAGAAATATAATAAAAATGCTGAATAGTACTCCAGCGTCGCGACATGCAGACGTTGGTACGAGTAGGTTAGTCTACAAACGTCGCCTAAAGTAATTGATTTTACCTGGCAGAACGAAAGAAGGAAACACCGCTTTTCAATTGTCATAGGCGCAGGTTTTTTGACAAACAATGACCTTTCAGAGGTCAAATTGCTGTCAAGAATATGAATTGGCTGCTTCGCAGCAATAAAAGGGCAAGCAATATTGACTGAAAGTGAAATTGTTTTAATTATTATTTATTTATTTCACAATTTGGTATCCAGTATATTAGGCACAATGCCAAGGATGCCAAAAACTGAAATTAGTGGCATTCTCTTTATGAAGACTAACGTACACAAGATGCTCTACATAGACGAGGCTTTTGGTATGTAGAAGAGGAATACAGAACGCCATCATCTCTCCTTCCTCCCCAGAGAAATTAGGGACTACTCTACGATTGTAGACATCAGAGGTAAAAAGTTTTCCAGGGCAGGTGGCCAGTATTATCATCATTATCAAATTAATAGAATTATTATCATCACTATCTATTATTATTATTAATAGTGTTATTATTATTATTATCACTATCAGTTTCTTTGTCTAATGAATTTTGTTATATTCAGTCACGAAATTTCCCCGTAGTGGGATGAATAAAGTCTCCTCGTATCACTTGGCAAGGCTTGGAGCAGATGATCATGTGAACATTGTTACCTCAAGAACAATAATTGCAAAGTAACTAGCTGAAGCAGAGGTACTGTTATGTCCATCATTCCAGGGTTGTCCCATCATGTTGTGTGTATTATGATTTTTACATTGCGTAAATAAAGCAAGTCAGTTTTAACAATTTGTATTTTGTAGAAAACATGAATTTCTCAACAATGGAATAGAGAAAACTAAAGGAGTATTTGCTTGCTTACTTTTAAATTTTTCATGTTTTTATCATATTTTTTGTATATTTTATTGGAAGTTTTTAAAATTGTATTTATATACCTGTACAGTACTACAGATTAATTTTTTCTACATTTACTGAACCTTGGCTGATTTTATCTGTAAATACAGGTATTTCCATTTGTGCATTAATTCCCCTGGCTTCTGGACCCATTTGAAATAAGTTGAGTGTATAAAAACTAGGCGTAATGGGTCATCAAGGCATTCAAATAATTATTTCTCGCTTTGTATTTTCTCATCATTTTAATGCAAGATGCGACACTGAATGGAAAATAAATCAAATCAAAAGTGCTGTGTTGGTGAGGTGACATTTGGCCACTTACATGTTCTGATACTTAAGAAAAATACATTCATGTCTGAATCTGAGCACGCCATATCTGGCCATCTAGGTACCATAGACATAAACCTTCATACCTCAACTCCAAGGGAGGAGAGAGACTCTTTATACCTTGATTCGCAAACTTATTTTCAGAGGAGGGCGAAAATAAAAATAACATTTTGTTTATTTATTTAGCAAATATTTTTGCCAAAATATCCAGACGGAAGAGAAAATAAAATAAAATTGTATTGGTGAATGTAAAGAGTGGTGTACAGTGCTGCGTTACATTTCTATAACTAGGAAGAAATACACTGTACATATCTTGTTTTTGGAGATTATCATTATTGGCAGGTGGCAGGTATAAAAAAGTCTTGCCCACCCATGGAGGTATGAAATTCTGAACTACCATCTGTATAGTTGCCTCTGTGGGGCCCCTCTATTTAAAATTCCAGGATCTGCAAGTTCACATGGCAACAGCATTACAGTGTACTACAATGAACAACACTCAATTCTGTTTACAGAGCATATAAAAATAGCTTTATTGCACAAAAGGAATGTTATGTACTGTACCATATTTAAGCAATATACATTTTAATTTTTAAAAAAAAGTGCCATGATGGCGCTCTTGCTATAATATCCTGAATTCTCCGTACTCTTGCTCAATTTCTTCTTCCGTCTTCTCTTCCAAGTGGAATTTCTTCCACCAAGGTTGCTGCAGTGATTGCATGATGACATCATGGTCGGCTTTTGCCTTGGCGGCAACCGGACGTGACTGACTAGTGAACTGATGTAGGTTGCGTTCTGTGGCATCTTGGAGCTTGGGGGCATCTGTAATATAATGATATTCAAATACTTGGTCAGGATTACACATATCTGACGATACTAAGAGGGAGGAAATAAACATTGCAATTTCACATTAAATTGTTCATTTTCATTCACTTCACGCTCTGTCCACACAATTTAAATGCCCATATATGGCCACGTCAAATATAATTGATAGTGTGGACATAGGGCTCTTTATGATGCATCCAGGCCCCCAACCCCACATGAGCTCTTCCCTTGGAATTCTCTTTCCTTGGAATTCCCTTGGAATGCACCAGGGCACATAGCCACCCATAGACCTCTGAGGAAATGCCCCCCACCCCACACCCATTTAAGTTATTGTGGTCAGATATCTTACATGTCAAATAGTTGTCTGTGAGATAACCTGAAGAAACTCCCTCAATTAAAACAATAGCTCATTTAAAATGATATAAACTTTATAAACCTACTGATAAACTTTTAATATTACTACTACATACATCAATAAATATTTACTACAAGCTATTAACGTAGCTAAACAAGGTAAAAAAAATATATGTCGCTCACTTATGATAAGATCTGCGTCAGTTTCAAGTGTCGCTAACAATGCTTGTCTTCTTTGGTTTTTCTTCCTGTCTACTCCACGTAGCATCAAATGCTTTGATAAAAGCTCGTGTGCTTGTGAATGCAGCTCCTCCATCTTTTCGCGACTACGTCGTTTTGGCTATAAATAGAGCAAAACTATTAAAAATCTATCTAGGTATTTCCATATATGTAATCCCTTTACATTATCTTCATAATTACTATGTCTTTGTAAATATATAACAGGCTTTCATTTTGAAAAATTTCAGAAGAGCTGCAAATCGCTCTCCCAAAAAAAAACATTCCAACTTCAAATTATGAGAAACATTTTTATATATATTGAAGTACTGACTATGAAACACTAAAAATTTCTATTTCATTTTTTTTTTTTTTTTCAGAAATGTCATAACTTTAGAGTTGGACTGCTGTCCTTGAATTTACTTAATGTTGCAACCGCAACTGGTTTAGGGTCATTTAGAAGAAAAAAAAATATGAGTAATTAAAAAAATTAAAGATTACACAAAAACTGTTAAATTAGTCTTGAATTGATTTAAAAGTAGTACTGTAGTTTAGTTGTAGTACAATCATACTCTTGGTAGTTTATTAGTTTTTCTAAATGGAATCTGAAATCTAGGTGAATTATCAATTGCTCTCATTGGGCGAATTTCAGAAGGTGTATCTAGGAGTCTTAAAAAAGGGAGGGAGGGGGAGCAAAGGTGAAGTGGTGTGCACCAGCTTGAAAACTAAGCTGATTTTTCTGCTTTGAACATTTTCAATTGTGGGGCCACCACTTGGGAAGCATAAGTATTTTTTGGGGAAGCGTGTATCCCCACGCACCTCCCCAGATACGGATTAGGAGGATTTGGTACTTACTGGATGGTTTTCTCTGTACTTGTCAATCACCACCTGTAATTCCACCCTCCTGTCATCTGTTAAACCAGGTGGCATCTTCCAAAGGCTCAATTCCATTCGATCATTTTCACGTTGCTTCAACCATCTCCTAACCTGTGTAAAAAACAAGGATGTTAATAGATATTGTACCCAGGAATTTGAATAAACAACACCATGCTTTGGATAAATGTCTTGTCCATTAAATAATCTGCTTTATACATCCCTTTTAAATAAATGTCAGAGGGCATCTATTTTTCTTCAACTAACAGACAATAACAGCAACAATTGTTGACATACAGCATTCTGTCCAGTTTAACAACTTTCAACTTTATTGGCAGTAGCCACTATTTATAAATAGGTTTTGTGAAAGATTTATTTTCAAAATATTTTACAACAAAAATTAATGCCATCCTGGATAAATGCCTCCGTCTTTAAAGAGCATTTTTGTTGAACACTGATTGAAAAGTATTACTGTACTAGGTGATGAGAAATTAGAATCCATACAACTGATTGGCTAATAATGTACTCATCAGAATGCTTTACACAATGATTGGCCAATAAAAATCAGAATACTTACATATGATTGGATTATCATTGCTGCTTTGACCTGTTTAGCTGAGGCCTTTCTTAGACCAAGTCGTTGTCTCTCTTGGTAACCTTTCCAATGAGCTTGGATCTTGACTGCTGCATTGACCTGGGCTTTTTCAAGGTACTGATTAACATCACCTGGTGAATAGAACAGAGTGACACTTGCTTTATTTTTTTTTAAATCACTTTTTAATTGTTTGTTGATGTAAATTGAATACCATTTTTTTGTTTTTGTTTATGGAGAAAATAGTTAATAACATTTATTTAGTAATTTCAGAAAGAACTTAATTTTGAGTCTTTTTACAAATAAAGCAGGGTATGCTGCTGTCCTTACAAACGAAACTACAGTTTTTTACACTCTGCCCGCCAAACACGGAGATCTCAATGTTTGGTAACGCAACACTCGACCACCTGTGTTTCAGGTTTTTTTACAGAATCCGATAGATGGGATAATTACCAACATGTAATAACAATTTGAACACTATATTCAGTCTTGACCGTAAGTATTTCACCATTTGTTTGTCTACATTAGCGTAGAGCGGTATTGATTTACTTTCACGAAATCGCAATTATCTCAGCTTCATTGTGTGAAATTGCATAAATCTCCAAAAGTGAGTCATTTTCATCTTACTGTTACGGGTCACAGATTGTGATTAGAATAAAGTGTTTGGTACCATTGTAAAGCTAAAATGTTTGTAGTTCTTGTAGTATTCACTACATGTCAATCTGATCACATACGTACTCTCAACGAGTTTCAGAAAAATATTAAAATTTGCTAAAAAGTCTGGCGGTATCTGATACTATTTTTTCAAACCCCTGGCGGTCAGAGTGTTAACTAAACACAGTGGCATATCTACGGTGTACACAGGGACGTACCCCCCCTCAAAAAATCACGTTCAAGTAGTTAAAAATCACCTCATATCACCTTATTTTGCAACCTAGTTCCCTTATTCATCAAGGGCCCCCCCAACTCCACCTTCATGCCCCACCATCACCTCCCCATTTCCCTAGGTTTCCTAGATGTGCCATTTTAGTAAAATGAAATAAACAATTCAGTTTATGCTTATAAACTAGGAAACTCCTTTTAATTTGATTAGTAGTCAATAAACAGAAGCATACAATCCAATATTCTCTAAAAAATACCTGTAAAAAATCTAAGGATTTTCAAAGCAAAAATCAAATAACCAAGAAAAACAGTACTGTATTTAATAAAAGACAAATATCAATGAATAATTTTGCTAATAAATAATTAAAAAAATGTATACACACAGAAAATAACAATTTGAAGAATTATGATGAGGTTTGAAGCAAACAATTACTAACTTGGATGAAGAGCCGCAATCATGTCAAGTTGTTTCTGCCGTGAGTTTCTTAATGCTTGACGCCTTGCAACCAGTAGTTGATGATGAAGCTCACGCTCTCTGCGATTTTTATCCATTCTGCGATCACGGACTTCTTGCTTGGCACTGATGATAAATAATTCATTAAAAAAAATCATTTATCTTCTGTATATTGTTAATTATGCAATTTATATTTTATTAAAGATATAAAATAATATATATATACAAATTTTGGAAATGATTCGGACACATGAGCAATGGCCCCAAATGGGTAATTTATGTGAGATATATGTTGACAAACTTTTTAGCTAATTAGTAATACCTCACAATTTTATACCGTACATCCATATTTCAGAATGTACAGAACCTAGAGATTTGGTCTTAGTGTCTCTTGTATCTGAAAACTATCTCTTCAAATCAATTAGAAGGAAAAAGTTATAAATTATCAAGATTTGAGATGAGTAAAATAATATACTGTACCATATTGTTTGAATAAACACCTGGGATGGGGCGTTTATCCTAATAAATACGGTATATCTTTCATTCATGTTAGAGTAGATACTGTAGTTATAAATATTAGTTTAATGTGAAATGTATGTTGGTTAAAAAGTTGCCCATATGTTTTCAAGGAATACAGACCGAGACAATGACTCTCAAGTGATGATAAAACATAGCAAATATTACTTACCGGAAGTTTTTTTGGAGATTAGTAAAAGCAGTGTCGGCTTTTTTAAGCTGCTTTCTTGCTTTGTAGCCCTTCCAGATTGCTTGGATAGTTACTGCAGCCCGATGAAGTCGCTAAACGAACACCAAGAAAAAAAAAAACCACATCGTTTAGATGCTGACAGACGATGAAGAAGTGCTGTAAAGTAACCATGGTATTAAAGAAGAGCTCTTACTTACCAACAACTGGGCCTGGTGCTCAGAGCCAGCATCAAGCAGAGCCAGCAACTTCTTCAGATCACGACCAAATCCTCTCCCTGTCCAACGATTCAAGAGTGGTCGTAGTCCCCTGAAGGAAAATATGAAATTAAAGGTGACAGGATTTGCTATTAATAAATTTCACCATATTTCAATAACTTTAGTTTAGCTGTACACTATTGATGGGTTGTGGTCTATGGAGTACCACAGACGTGTCGTCACAATGCCAGGTGGCGCCCTTTGTCACCAACCAGACGCCTGAATTACTTTGTAGGCTTTCTAGAATAGGCATTTTACAATCTAATTTTTACCATCAAAATGTACTAAAAACACAAAGGCTCGCATTATATTAGTTATCAAACACACATTTAATCATCAATTAAAATTTACAAAGAAAAACTAAGATACAACATCTTAATATACTACATTAGAAATTGGGATCAATGGTTTGTCAGTGGAGAAAATGGAGTCCGGTTGAACACATTTTGTAATAATAGCAATGGAGTAGCATCACATAGTATCGTGACATAAGACTGTAGTTTTCCAGAGGTGCAAGACTCATTTTAGAGCAGAGGACATTTTTATCACTTTCAGGGGCAGATCCAGATATATCCAAAAAGGTGGTGGGGGGACATCTGGAAATAACCTCTGAGGTGTTCTGGCCAATCAATAATTTCTTTTGCTTTTTTCCCCTTTGTTTTTTTTAAAGGGTGGGTGGGGGTATGTTCTGTAAATAGGCCTATATGACTCAAGCCATGATTTAATATTTCTTGATTAAATGCTGCTGCGTATTTATAAAAAAATAGAATATATCACTATATATTTACATATATATATTTATATATATATATATATATTTATATATTTTTGATATATATACACAGTATTTAACTGATTGATACAATAAAGAATTATATGATCATAAGCAAGAGCATCATCAATCCACTTTCGCCTTACAGCATAGCATTTCTGCAAATAGTATTCCAAGTAGAATGATTATTTGCCAGGGACAGGTAGATCTTCAAAACTATCCTGGTTTAACCATTATATCTCCATGGTTTAACTGTTGGTTTATGGGCATAATTTGCTTATTGACTGTTGAGATCCATGTGTATTTTTGTACCCCTCTTGAGTTTCTTTGACCTTTTTATGGCTTCTCAAAGTGTTTTCTGGACAGATACTTCGCTTGACAATAGCAGCAAATGACCGAGTCTCTGTTTGATGGGAAGACTCCATGGTGTTGCCTGTGTTTTTTGGTAAACCTCTTCATTCTCAAGCAAGAGCGGCACTTAGTGAAAAAAAAAATTCTAGTTTGGTGCAGGGCTCTTTCGGGAGTGTAACTTATTGAATCATATGGTATAATGATGGAGGAATAAGTTTAGACTTAACTTATGTAAGTCTAAAGTCTATTCCTCCATGGTAGAATACAAAAAAAAAAGAAGGAAATTAATTAAATGCATGCATTCACTTACTTGTAACGATTATACAGAAGTTGTATAAGAGGAGGATACACATCTGCAATGTTGACAAGTGCCCTCGTGGCTGCTGCACCAACCTCTGCATCACTGAAGGCTGACAGTTTGTAAATCATTTCGTCCAATAAACTAAATACAACTTTATCTGATAAGGACTGAAGAACCAATCTGAAAAGTCAATGAGGCAACATTCAGCCAACCAGAACATTCAAATAAAATAAGTGGGAGGAGCTAATAGGCCATCAACCAATGAGAAGACACACATTAGTAACACTGTACCAATCACACACAACCAATCAGAACAGAGAGATCTGTGACTGATCCAGTGAACAACCAATAAAAAAAGAATCATAATAGTAAATACTATCAATAACCATAAATCAGAACACGGACATCAGGAATCACAACATAGTTCAAAGTATGAAAATCAAAGAGTAAACAACTTACACATTAACTCTTACAGAATTTTGAATAAGTCCCATCAGTACAATTGATGTCTCCTTATCATCAGTAATGAGCATTTGAAGTAAGTAATTTGAACGCAGCACTAACAGAAAAATATCAAAATAAATATACTTTTAAAGATAATAAAACAATTGGTGAGTGTGTATATGTGTACATACATATTAAAAAAAATATTAGTTAAACATTATTTTTATTTTGGTACATAT